GTGACAAAGTGGTCTTTGAAAATTCTCCTGGAATAGCCGAATGGGAGGAAAAACAAGAATCCAGCAATCGAGCCTTGCGCCCTGTTTACAAGTGTAACGCTTGAACACTGCTAAAGCCAATATTACGGCTGCGTCACTGAACTTTTGGGTGTGGCTGATTAAATTTCTGGAAGAACAAAGTTTAATTTTGTGCAATAGTAAATTTACTGAGTTTGCAAATAGTCGAAAGAACATTAAATATACCCACCATTTGTTGTGTCAGATTAATATTCATAAATCACGTGCAGTGACTTTATATCTGATAAAACACCGCATACTAATAAGGAGGAGGTCTTATCGATATCACTACACGTGATTGATCATCAACCATTTGATAGGTCAATGGGCTTATGATTTATTAATTAGTTTTTGAAGGCCATCTACTTGATCTTCTGGCCGTCTATTGTTGGCGAATTTCACTAAAATCAGCACAGGTGATGGTACTCGCAGGTTACCCCGACACTAGGCTCGATTTCCGCCGCTCTCTCGGCCCTCCCGAGAAAAGACAGCTGGACGCGTAAGTGCCTATCGTGTCTGTGAGGTAAATTTAAAACTTATGATCTATGCGTCGTTACCAAACACCGGAAATGAGAAAATAGCAAACACATGTTGTACTTTGCCTCTTGGTCGCTTTGGTGTTCGCCATAAAAATCAGCAGAAACACGTACTGGTTTAAGGTGTTTACATTGATCTTGCATAAGCAAAGTTTGGAGTGCAATTACAACAGAAATGGACTTGACAATCGTATCTTTCACGTTAGCTGTCAACAACCATCGTTGCATGTAGACTGGAAAATAATTTATGACCAAGATTCGGTTGGTTGAATTTCAAAAACTTACCTACCATTTTCCAGCTTCTCTAAGCTAACGCTTTTCCGTAAATATTTCATGTTTTTAAACTGAAAACGCGCTAAAACACGATCGCACGCCATATCAAACAACACCTTTCCATCCGCCATTTGAAATGTGCTCCACGAAAATAAATTTATGTTGCTTGCTCGATTTGAGTAGGCAACGATCTGATTGGTGGTAATTGACAATAGCAAACGCATGCGTGCGGCAGTGTGTTTGGGGGAGGAACGCGGACTCATTTCCCGAACAGCGTCTGGTAATCGAGCCTACCCCGAGACGTGTGGACGAACAGGAGAGGCGACCGGGGTAGCAGAAAACATCCAACAGGCAGAGCAGAAGAACATCAGAAGACAAAAAGGAAATGGTTTTTAACCTCTATCTACAGTCGGCGGTGATATAGAAGAGACTAAACGACTGATCAGCCACCTCTGGAGATGCTCAACTCCCAAGTATAACTCTGAAGCAACTCATGAAGTGACGTAATCTGCACACAGCTACTGAGCTCTCGCTCCGTTTTGCAGGACTCGGCTGTACTGTCGTAATTTGCCATGATCAACGCACTTTGTAATACCTGTCGCAAATTGTAATAAACCTTGTCGCACCTTGTGACAAAAAAGCTCTCGCAATTTGTAATAACTTTCCATCGCACTTTGTAATAAACCAAGCTGTCACAATTTGTAATAGACTTTAGTTATCACATCCTATGAGATTCGCTTTTATGACTATGATCTCAGTCACGACATCAAACTTGCTGCCCCCTAACCGAAAAAACACATTGTCTTTGCATAGGCGGAGGTGAAGTAAGGTTAGAACAACAAAAGAAATTGCACGTTCATCTAGCAATTGATCGTTAATCAAGAAGTTACAACGAACAACAAGGAAACGACCGACAGAAGCTCTCCCGATTTTATATTTTAAAAAATATAAATGTTTATTATGTAAGGATACATAAAAGGAAACGTCAGACGTTATCCATATCGATGTCGCTCACTACATAAAATATAAAAAATATATACTACAATGTAAAATTTAAGCAAGCGAATATTAACGTTAAGGTGGCTCGATATAGTTTTTTAAGGTCAATACCTCCCAGGTTTGAGCGTAAACTACGTCGCCATAAACAAAGATTTGGAAAAATTGACACCACAGTTGTATTAGGTAAAGAAGAAAATTGGTTATGATCAGGGTTGCAATGACATCGGGGTTGTCATAGCAACGAAGTGACGCCATTAGCTATTTTACTTGCAGCAGTATTTCTCGGCACTGGGAACTGTTCTTCCAAAATCGTTTACTGTAGCATTTACCTACGATAGCTGCCTCGATGTTCGTGAAGTTTAAGCGAAATCTGTAAGAGCGTCATCGAGATATTTTGGGATGAAGTTTTTATGGTTAGAAATACGATAAAAAAATGACAATCTTGATGTTCGACTACTATCTGTACTAAACCAAGCGCTTCTGACATGCAATTTCACCTCGTAGTAGTTTCAATCTTTATAAAAACGTGGGTGAAAGATCATGGAGATACCTTCAGCCGATTGCTAGAAAGGAGGATTTGATTAGTATATATGAAGGCGCTCTTGTTAGCGGTAATGTAAACATTTCGGTCTACTTTAACAAATTAGCGAATAATTTTTAAACCGCTCGATAAATTTTTTAGAAAGTTTAAGAATCTTGAGATTAACCCTCTTTTTATATGACCTCTTAGTTTCAAGATTATTGATATATTGTAAGGCAGTAAAATAAGGGCTTGAAATCGCTAATATTTTGTCAGAAATTTTGTGATAACAAGTGAGAGCCTCTCATTATTCAGGGGTATTGTCTCAAAGTTTCATTTTCACGTGAACAGCAGTAACTAACAATGCATTTGACATATGCAAAACTGCTAGCTATCGTCATGCACGAAAATATGAAACTTGGAGACAATACCCGTGAATAATGAGAGGCTCTCACTTGTAAACACAAAATTTCTGACAAAATGTTAGCGATTTCAAGCCCTTATTTTACTGCCTTACAATATATCAATAATTGTAGCCCTTATTTCACTACCTTACAACATATCAATAACCTTGAAACTAAAAGGTCATGTAAAAGGACGGTTTATCTCAACACTCTTAAATTTTTTAGAAAATTTATCGAGGGGTTTAAAAATTATTCGCTAATTTGTTAACGTAGACCGAAATGTTTACATTACCGCTAACAAGAGCGCCCCGATACATACTAATCAAATCCTTCTTTCTAGCAATCGGCAGGAGGTATCTCCATGATCTTTCACACACGTATTTAAAAATATTGAAACTACTACGAGGTAAAATTGCATGTCAAAAGCGCTTCGTTTAGTACAGATAACAGTCGAACATCAAGATTGTCAATTTTTTACCGTATTTCCAACCATAAAAAACTTCTTCCCAAAATATCTCGATAACACTCTTACAGATTTCGCCGAAACTTCACGAACATCGAGGCGGCTGTTGTAGGAAAAAGCTCCAGTAAACGATTTTGAAAGAACAGTTCCCAGTGCCGAGAAATACAGCTGCAAGTAAAATAGGTAATGGCGTCATTTCGTTGCTATGACAACTCCGATGTCATTGCAACCCTGATCATAACAAATTTTCATCTTTATCTAATACAACTGTGGTGTTAATTTTTCCAAATCTTTGTTTATGGCGACGTAGTTTACCCTCAAACTTGGGAGGTATTGACCCTGAAAAACTGTATCGAGCCACCTTAAAAGCCGACGTTTCGGTATCATCATGACACCATTGGCAAAATGAATAAGTAATGCGAAGATTTGATTTCTATAGTCTCTACAAATTAGCATAATAACAAAGGATCACAAGTTCTTCAAGTGAATACCTTTGCGCGAATCGAGTCCGCCTGCACGTTTAGAATTTAAGAATAATTAAGAAATGACTAAAAAACATTACAAAATTTTACAATACTTTTTAAGTTTACTTCGAAAAATGCTGAAATCCTGTTCGTGCACTATCTCTTTAAGAAGAGCGTTCCACTGTTTAATAATTCTAACAAAGAATGAGTGCAAAAACTTTTTACTCTAGCTAATGGCTGTCTTAATTTAAATGAATGGTTTGATCTTGTTTTACCATAATTAAATTCAAAATAATCATTACAGTTGAGGCCATTAAGACCATGAATAGTCATGTAGTACTCTAGCAAAGAGAGATAAGACCTCCTTGATTGAAGACTGGACCACCCAAGCATTGCCAGTCTTTCTTCGTACGGAGAGTCCCTAGATGGCATCGGGAGAGCGTATTTTCAAGGCCTTACGTTGGACTCATTCAAGAGCGTCAATGTTCTTCTGTAAATGGGGTGACAAGAGAGGGACAGCATATTCCAGAATGGGTATAACCAAGGCCTTGTACAGATGAGAAAAGACTTCCTTGTTCCCTGCACCAACATTTCTTTTAAGGAAACCAACAATCTTGTTGGCTTTATTTACAACTTTCTGCGTTTGGATGTTCCAGGATAGATTAGAAGACAATGAGACCCCCAAATCAACCGTTTCGGTGACAGCATGAAGCGCACAACCAGAGAGTTTGTAAGGATAGCTAGTATGATCTCTCGCATGGGTAACACGTACAACCTCACATTTGTCAGGGTGAAAACGAAGTTGCCATTTTTCACTCCATTTCTGTAGTGTGTTGAGGTCACATTGAAGTTGTTTCTCGTCGTTTTGACGTAAATAATCCTGTAAACCTTGCTGTCATCTGTAAACAGGCGCATGCTTGACCTTACACCGGTTGTGATATCGTTAATATAGGCAAGGAAAAGGACTGGCCCAAGTACACTACCTTGGGGAACACCAGAGGTGACCATCGTCCAAGGAGAAAAATGCCCACGGAATGAGACTCTTTGTTTTCTACCGACGATAATTAGCAATTATTGGACGAGGTTGAGCAAAATATCGTAATTTGCCAGTGGCGAGCAGATCAATTATTTTCGGCTTCGGCAAATAACTGATCTGCGAGACACCGACAAATCACGATATTTTGCGATAACCGAGTTCAATAATTGTTTTATCATTCGATCACCGAGTTTGTTTTTTAAGGAATATCATCGGGAAGCGAAGCGATCTGCCATTTTCACGCAAAAGCGATCGCAAGAAGGGGAAAAGCGTGGTTTCATTCACGCATGAGCAGAATAGTATTTGCAGCCAAAAACAGTTGAACGACATTTTCGCATGAGCACACCATTATTTGTAGGCAGTTATTTGCAGGTCACGTGGTGAGCTCTCGGCCAATGAAAAGGAAGAAACATTTGCATCGAATGATAAAGTGGGTTAGCCAGTTAAGGAGATTTCCACCAATTCCATATCCCTTCAACTTCGCCAGGAGATGCTGATGAGGAAAAAAATTTTTGTAAGTCGTTTTCCCGGGCTGTACATGCTGTTCTAAGTCGGTGTATTCGAGCATGGACGAGCGGATTAAGACATCAGTATGTACAGCCCGGGAAAATGACTGACAAAAATTCTGCGAGCGACCAGGCGGAACAACAAGGTCACGTGAGACGAAATCTTCATAATCTGTTCTTTCAGTCTTGCAGGTCCAGTCTTCCAGGCTTCTTACGATGGGCTGTAACACTGAGATTTATTCTACCTACTTCGTAACGAGTAGTAGAGGACCCTGAGAAAGGCGTCCCAGAATCAAAGGTGATGACGTCATCAAATGCGTATATTACCGAAATTCCTTATATCTCCGCTTATTTAGAACAGTTGAATGTAGTTCTCACAGACATTTCCTCAAATTATAGTTTTGTGGTTATACTAACGTTTTCTGTTTTACCTAAGCCTGGTTTTTGTAAAAGATGGTTTGGATGTAATGATAAGTTACCTGAGCAACTTTGGACCCTACAAAACGTTGTTGAATCACCTCCCTTGGGGTTCTTGTGACCAAAATCCTGTCTATCGCAATTGCTCGCTACTTTCCATTTCACGGGTCAAAGCAAGAAATGACTCGCATAAAGTAGATGTATTTTACTCTGTTCCTCATCAGCGTCTCCTGGCGAAGTTGAAGGGATATGGAATTGGTGGAAATCTCCTTAACTGGCTAACCCACTTTATCATTCAATGCAAATGTTTCTTCCTTTTCATTGGCCGAGAGCCCACCACGAGACCTGCAAGAAGAAATTTTAGCTGACCCAAGGTAGACGAGAAGTCAAACCTGTTATCATAAGATGTGTAGTTTGCCATAAACAGAGAGTTGGACCTTGCTCGCAGAAAATGGGCCAATTACCGGAGGAGAGAGTTTCATGTTCACCAGCTTTCGTGCATGTTGGAACTGATGTTGCAGGACCACTTTATGTAAAAGAGGGCTCAGCCATGCAGAAAGTGTACGTCTATGTATTCACATGCGCATCATCTCGTGTGATACACTTGGAACTAACACACAGCCTTACCACTTATAAAGTCCTACAAGCCTTTAGTCGCATGACAAGCCGCAGAGGTCTTTGACATACAGTGGGGTTGGACAACGTGAAAGGCCTTTAAGACCGCAAGCAACTAAGGAAATCCAAAATTGTATGATGAACCCAGTACTCAAAGTTCGAACGGTGTGGGATACGTTGGATCGAGACCGCATTAATTCTGCATTCCCGTCGAAGGGGATTACGTGGAAATTCGTCACCGAGCGTTCACCATGGCGAGGCGGATTTTTGTGAGCGATCAAAGAACCGCTGCGTAAAGTGATTGGAAAGGCATGCACTTCTCACCTTTTCTGAGTTGAACACACTATTAATTTAGATTTAAAGTATCATCAACTCGCTACCGTTAACGGCAGTGAGCGACGATTGCAGAGACCCTTTACCGGTTACACCCGCTCATCTTGCAATTGGTAGACCAGTTAACCACCTACCTGAGAGTAAAGAAGATAGCTTGGAGGAATCTAGTAAAAGAACTGTCGAAAGGTATCTTTACCTACAGAGATTACTTAACCACTATTGGAAACGTTGGAAACGAGAATATCTGAATCTGCTGTCCTTGAGAAGTAAATGGCAAAAGGAAAGCCCTTCCATTCGAGAAGGTGATATCGTATTTTTTAGAGTTGAAGAGGTTCATCCTGGTAAAAACGGACTTATGCGAAGGGTTACCGTGAGAGCACAGAAAGGTGTATTCAACAGGCTTGTTCAATGCTTACACAGATTAGAAATTGATGCTGCAGCCCCACAAGTTTCTCGTGAAGCTGGTGTTCCTGTTGATGTTGGGGAGAAGCCGCGAACGAAACCCTGTTAATAGCAAAAGTGTACCTGTTTGCCTAAGAGGAGAGTTGTCCTCTCTGAAGGAGAGCAAGGTGGGGAGGATGTTACAGCCCGTCGTATTCGTACTCGAGTCATAAAGAAGCCTGTAGGACTGGACCTGTAAGACTTAAAGTACAGATTATGTAGATTTCATGTCACGTGACCTTGTTGTTCCGCCTGGTTGCTCGAGGGATTTTTGTAAGTCGTTTTCCCGGGCTGTACATCCTGTTGTAAGTTGGTGTATTTGAGCCTAGACGAGTGGATTAAAAGTTGCGTTCAAGTTTGTAATTCTTCGCTTTCTTAACTGACACAAAAAGTTTATTACAAAGTGCGATGGAATTACATTGTGACCGATTGCGACAGCTTAAATTGTTAGAAAGTGCGATGGACAGTTATCACAAATTGCAGTAACTTGTTTGTTACCAAGTGCGACGCGGTTTATTGCAAATTGCAACAGGTATAACAAAGTGCGACAGACTTAATACAAATTGCAACCGTTACTACAAAGTGCGATGATTATTACACTGAATTGCGACGGTACACGTTGTTCCATCGATAATGGCGAAAACGTGTCCGAATAAAAAAAAAAAAAATTAAGCTTAATTAGACTGTTATCTATGTATCATGAAGTTGCCAATGCCATACCAACTAGCCTTCGTACAAATATCAAAATCACCAAAAAACGAACAGAAAGATTTTAAATCATAACTATTGATTACTATCTTTTAGATTACCTTCAACAGTGAATTAGGTATCTTGATTTCAATTTTTTTGCACCAGTCTCTATGACTGGTTGGTTTTTCGATGTACTGTTTTAAGGTATCAGACTTGATATTCCCTAGTATAAGGGAGGGCGTTCCTTCTCTAGCAAAATGTATGACTGCTTCTTGCTTGGCTCCATAAGATATTTCACAGATAGTACGGGTGTTCTCCAGTAGGCCAGTTGGAAGAACTTGTTCATTTAGTAATAGGTTTATCAGGCTGCTTTTCCCCGCGCTGGTCTCTCCTGTTGAAGATAAAGTTAAATTTTAAAGTCGTTCTACGTCAGTAAGTGTTGTCGTCTTATAGAAAGGTGGTTTACCGGTTGCATAAAATCGTTCGGGCTGGGGAATTGATTTTATAGTTAGTCAAAAAGTGGTTTATGAAAGGAATATATAAATTCACTGTGATTCACAGAATTTTATGGAGGTGAGGTGATGGTCTTCAAAATCCTTGGTGCTTACCAGCTACGAGAACTGTGAATTTCTTGTTTTTGAGATCCTTGTTGCATTTTTCAGCTCTGTTCCGAAAGTCGGCCTCTTCTTGCAGAGAAATTCCTTGCGTATTGGAAAGAACTTTCTTTATTTTCGAATAACAGTCCTTTAAAGCATGCCGTTGCTTATGAGTTTGCTTGAGGTCTTTCACGATCTTGTTGTAACCCTAAAAGAACGAATAATGTAATGAATAGCATTATCATTTCCCAAGAAATTGTACCCCTCATTAAGCAAAAAGGATACAGTCTCAACTTCTGGACCGACAGTATGTGTCCGTTTAATAGTCTTAATAGAGAATCAACGAAAATCACTTGAAAATCCTTAAATAACAATGACCGAGACTAGGTTTTATGAGCCCGCGAGACTGAGCACCCCAACCAAACTATATGATGTTACACCACGTACTTACCATTGTTTTCACTAAAACCGCTGGACGCCAACTTGATTGAGGTCATGTTATCTGAGGTCTTCCAAATCACTTACACATTGACAATCTCCAACCCGTTGCGTGACATACTAATCTTTCACTTCCTTAATACTATCAAGATCACCTTACTTCCTCATTCTTCTTACTTTTGTTATGACTTCCTTTCGCGCTGAATCAGGAGCATGGAGTGCATTTTCGGACGAATTTGTTCATTGTGAAAGCAGACCCAAGAAAAATGGAAAATAGTGATCCCGGGTTCTTGTGTCTTAACATTTGTCATAAATGACATCGTCTATTAATTTCTCTTCCTCTCGAAATGTTGAAGCTGTTCTCCACTTTGTTTAGCTCCCGCAGGCGCATTGTAGCTTAGGTACACAAAGATATACAATGTACAACATGCGATATCATTGTCTAAAACAGCAATATTTGATAGTGCTAAGGAAATTGTTGCGACGTTTCTAATGTTCACGATTACGTGGTTCAACATTCGACAATACAAAGCGTTAGGCAGGACGAATAGCACTCTACAAAGTCTCGAGACTCTCACTACATACAGTAAAAACCCGCGACTAAGAACCTGGATTTTTCGAAGTTAGCCTAAACAGGTTCTCACATAAATGGTGATTAGCAAATTTGGGCTATTTAGATTCTTAAATAGGTTTTTTCTCTGAGATGAGAATTCAAATGACTCGGTTCATGGTGCATTAAAGGACTGCTGAACCCCATCCGGACAAGGATTCATCGGTACGTTTGATTCACCATGATCCGAGTGATCGTGGATCATTAATCCTCATCCGGACCATCCTTAAGGAACTCCGATCATCAACCTCTATCCTGATTATTCACGAACTTAAGTATCAAGGAAACAACTGACCAAGAGCCCGAATTATCGACGAGGCGGGACTTGTTCGAATTTGAAAGTGTGGACGTTTTATGAACATAAGAAATACAAAATATCTGTAAGCTTCGATAAAAAATATAATTAAAAAAAAATGATCATAGGAAAAGCATACCTCCAGTAAAGTTCCATTATTTGTTTTCAGTTCTTCGATCCTTAAGTCTAGAGCCCTGCCCATGCTGTCCATTGACTCGCCATAATCTTTAGTATCCACACGGAGAAGCTCTAAATCCTTTACAAGGTCTGTAATACTCGTTTTGTGAGTAAGACCAGTCCTTGGTGGACCTTGCTGCGCCATTTTAAGTTGTTTTTGCACTCTTTAGATTCAAATATGTCTAACACAACCCATCATTCGACATGAAATGTGATTCGAAAGCCTTGAGAAGCAAGTTTACTACTTTTACATAGGCTAAGATGTTTTAAAATGACGCTCTTGAAGGATTAGGGGAAAAATGAAAAATATAAACAGGATGTCTGACGACCTTTGGGCTTTGTGTCTGGGGAACCTGACACATGAAACATTTTTCCGTCGAATATCGTCTGACAAGGTGTGAAGTACGTGAAAATCAATACCATAAACTTCCTCTTATAAGCCCTGGGCTTATGCAACTTCGTAAGGAGTTTTATGAGGGCTTATATCCGAGGGGCTTATAACAGGACTAAATAAGCGTTTTAAAACAAGCTACGTAGCAGTGTTGATCAAAATATTTTTTGAATTTACCGTAAAATTCCGAAAATAAGCCCCTCCAAATATAAGCCCCCCAAACTCGTAACGCAAAAAACCCTCCGTTAAATCTCCCGTCCAAATACACCCCCCCCCGGGGGATTGTACTTGGAAATTGCCCCCAAGTACAAAGTAAAATAAAGCAAAAACGGTCAATTTCGTGGCAACTGTAAGGCTAGCCCAATCGATTTTGAAACGCAAACTTCTCTCCATAGCCAAGCCCCTCCGAATATAAGCCCCTCAAAAAGGGCCTTTTTATTCTCTTTTTAATTTCAAAACGTGGTAATGCCTGATGTTTGTAACCGTGTATAAATAAATAAAATAAAGATGATGTAAAAAAATAGAATTCACCTCAGTATGGGCTTATGTCCGAGGTTGGGAGGGGGGGCTTATAACCGGATGTTATGTTTTGTTTATTTTTAGATGGGCCTATAACTGGGCCGTGTGTGGGGGAGAGAGAGTACAAGAAGAATGACAGTTCTGTTTACAATAACTGAAAAAAAACATAGTTGTACAAAATCAAGAGAGAATAAGGTAAAATTCTGAGCTCTCCGACAAGACTTCATGGCCAACGCAACTTCCTCTGTACTTTTCAGTTTAAAACTTTATTCGTTATGACAACGAGCCAACGTCCGCGGTAAAACGAGAGAAAAAAACTAAGGTTATCATATTCCATTCACAAAGCTGAGAACACGTGGTAAGGATTTAATAAAGCATTTTGATATCGTCGTCAAAATCAAAGCTGTGACCATCATGAGACACTAGCGATAAAACGAAGCTGTCATCGAAGAATATTAATATGATTGAGTAATTCCTTTATAAACCCTCGCTTTTTTTTGTTTTAGCTCAAACGCTAGTGAGGCCATCAACTGAAACAGACAAAACCTGTTAATACGAACGCTGAAGGGGCCATAGAAAGTGTCCGTATTAACGGGGTTAACGGGGTGTTAGCCTGTGTACAGACGTTCCTCCTCCCTAAGGAAAAATCGGGAGATTTTTCCTGAGGGAGGGGGGACGTCTGAACACAGGCTACGGGAGTGTCCGTCTAAAGAGGGTCATGTTATTAAAGTAAACTAAATTTCACAAAACCGTCATTCAGCGGACTGAATCCACAAAAACAATGAAAAATCGCTCATCTCTATATTATTCAATCAAAACCGTTCTCTGAATAACTTCGTTTGATGCCAAAATAGTGACGTCTACAAGACATCGTATCCGGTGTACTGTAGCGCCGGGAACATCGACAGGCTGTCAACAGAAGGTTTTCTTACCTTCAGAAACGAAGGAAAGGTCCATTATAACACGCAGTTGATAATGAAGTGTCGGCATTAGCGAGGTTGACGTTCTGTTAGAATCTTTTGATTGGGCAAGATATAGGTGTCCGTATAAAGCGGGTTTAATTTAGAGAAAATGCCAGGGCTTTTCTCAGGGACAAAGAAAACTGTACAAAATAAAGTGATGTCCGTATATGTAAAGCGGGGTTCGACTGTACTTTTATCTTGACTCGCCTGGTAGAAACGTTTATATTTATCACGTTGTTCAAATCTTTGCATGGAAAGCAATCTTCAATACCCTCCAGTCTGAAAGAATTTTGTCTTTATGTATCGTTAGAAGTGAACTAATAAAACGTTAGAAGAACCAAAGAAATTGCACCTTCAACCAGCAATTGATCTGTGATCGAGAAAGTATCAACACACGGCAAATATGGAAATGACCGATAGGACCTCTTCCAATTTCATAGCCAATTTTTTATCCCCTTGGAGAATGATTCGATAACGTTTATAAAACAGTAAACAGGAGAAAGGAGCTTTGCCAGTTTCAAACCACCTGACTTATCAACCCATGGCATTTTTAGCGGAGCTCCCGCGCGCGCTTCGCGCGCGCGCAGCGGAGCACCATGGGTAAGAAAATTTGGTAAACTATCCATCCCAGAAAATTTGGTTATGACGTAGCGTACGTCCGTCCGTACGGACTTTCCGGGTAGTGGAAAGTAGTCCGCATGGACTCTTGGGGTAGGGGAAAGTAGAGATTTTTTTGGCGGGAAATCGCATGGCGCAACGTCGCGCAATTATATCGCGCAACTGGTTTTGAAAAAAAGAAAGCAAGTAGAAAGAGTCAGAGCGAGAAGAAGGAGAGAAAATTATAGTGAAAAACGCCGGCAAGTAGAACGAGACAGAGCTAGAATGAACAGACAAAGGCAACGCGAAAGAGAAATACAAAGGCAAAGAGAACGGCAGCAAAATAATGACATGATGACAGAAAGTGTTGTGATAATGTCACTATGGCCCCGCGCTATTAACATTTTGATTTCAAACTGATCTCGGACTCGAAAATTCAGCCAGTCATTTAAAAATACAAGCAGGGAAGACAGAGGCTTTTCACTTTTCTCACCATAGACACGCGTTGATCACGTTCTACGACCGTCCAATTTTTATGCTCTGATTGGTCAAAATTTGACAGGTGAGTTCAAGCAGAAAATTTATACGGCATCTTGAACCTTGTTTACTTTCAGTTTGACAGCTGAAGCTGACAGAGTATTTTGTCAACTTGTGATGTTTTTTACAGTCTTTTTCCACTGGATGCTTAAAATGAAATACAGCTGCTATCAACAGTCTTCTTTGATTCATGGCTGGTTTGTTTATTGAATTTTTGGTCGGGAAATGCGCCGGTTGCCAAAGTTGGAAATCCGATTTCGGATGCATCGCTTTCGTTTTTACCTTGCTGGATGCGGGTTGAAAAGTCCCTCAAGCGATTCTGGCCTTACTTTATAGCTTTCAAGAGCTGCATCTCGAATGGTAAGCCTAAGTAATTATTGTATACAGTGTATGTTTGTTTTTTTATATCTAATTTCATGAAGTCGAGCGCAGTTTAGGAGGCTAATTTATGCACGTTTGTGTTATTAAGATCTTAGACAATGATCTGATCTAGTATATATAAGCTTACAGAACTTTAAAAAGCCTTTAGTCGATATTTTCTCTCCGCATATAGAACGAAAAAACTTTCCGAAGAGTATTTAGTTATAATTTTGGCCGTAGAAAGAAAGCTTTGAGCGGTTTTCTTGCCTCGAGTTCATCTTTGAAAACAGTAAACACCAGGAAGCCGGCTAAAAGCTTTAAGCTTAAGCTTAAAGACTCAGTTTTTAGAGACGCTTTAATACTTGTCTTCGTGAATGAAAATTGTTGTCTCTGTAAATGTTTCACCGAATTACATTTCTTTTATTGATTGTTAGTAGTCTCTTACAGTTTTAATCGCTTTGCAGTTTGTTTTCAGTCGTTCATAAACAACGCTTGCAGGAGTACTCAAAATGCTGCTCGTATCAAATGCTTTTTAAGATTGCACATCGTTATAAAACCATTTAATAAAAAAAATAAACACAATAAATTCTTTATTATGTTGAAGCGTAACTCGTTTTATAATGTTCACTGAAAATTTGGCGCTTGTCAAAAGTGAGAACCGGCTGGCCGTATAAATGATTTTGGAAATTTTTTGAACGGTTTTGCCAAAAGCCCACGAGTGCTTCGTACGGTTAGGGAGCGGTCATTAACTATTGGGGGGGGAGGGCTGGTAAATTTTGGGGGAGGGCTGTGTTTTTTTGGGCGCCCATTTGGGGTGGGCCATAATTTTATGGGCCCACGTTTTATAGGGGAGGGTTACAATTTCTGGGCGCCTTTTATTAAAACTTTGGGCGATGTGCACAAATGGGTTTTGTGCTATTGACTTTAGCATGGCAAGAGAATCTTCATAGAATCGTATACTCAAAGCTTAATTGCACAGTGAAAAAGCTCACACCCAGAACAATTTTATAAACATCACTTGATTTATTGTTATTTTAAAAAATCAACAAATTCTGGTATGCTATAAAACTCAATCAGTCTTAAACAGTAACGGTATCAAACATATTGCCAATGTCCAGTGAAGATGTATAAACGACTACTCAATGGGCTCATAGTAAGGAGTGCATTCCATTGTGTTCCAGTAGGGGCCAATGTCTTCTGCACTGCTGCTGTCGTATGCTTCCACTGCAGTAAAGACACTTCCCGAATCCTCCTCCTGACATTGTTCAGTTACATCACTATCATCGGCCCCGTCATCGCTATTTCTTTCACTGTCTTTGCTGTCATTGATGCTACTTAGGTTGTCTTGGTCGCTACTTTCATCGCCGTCACTTGCATTAGAGCTACTCTCACTTTCAGAAAACCCTAACATTGTTCTAAGCTCTGATTTCGCGCTGTCATTCAAAAGTTCGCACTGATCAAACATCAAAGCTACCGCCCATTTCTGCTCTCTTTTTCCAAGTTCTTTTACGATGTCTCCGCACAAATCCTCCTTCTCACAAATCTTACCCTCCGACCAATCAGGCGCAATCTTCTTGAGAACCTCAGTCGTCCTGGCCACATGCCTCGCCTTTTTCCGCTTCACACTCTTTTGGGTATTTTGTTTCCTTTTTCTTGATTTTCTTTTCATTGCAGAAAAGGGGTGCTTAAATGCTGCTTTGCAGGTTTCTTGGAGCTGACTTAGACTAGTTATTAAAGTGTGTAATTCATTTCTAAAACCCTGCAATTCGGTTAGCTTTTGCTCATCAAAGTCATGTGCAGTTTTATGTCCTGTTAAAACTCTACCTGATGAATGGATTGTTCTTTCTAAGTGTTCCTTTAGGTTTTTTTGTAAAGTTTCGATTGAAGTTTCGACCCTCTTTATGTGTAACATGTTCTGCGTTATGGTCGTTGAATCATGCGGCTTGAGAATGTGGTTTTCTCTTAGAAGAAATCCAGCCTTAGAAGGATCCTTTACAGATTTCAGTTGCGCTAATTGCTCTCTAATTTTTTTTACCGCCTTCTCATTGTCGTATTCCCTTCTCGCTTCTTCATGGAATGCTTTCTTAAAGGCCTTCTTGTTTCCACCAAAATAGCCAACCCGTTCCAAATAAAATGATTCGTACACTTCGTTATAAAATCTGCTCATGTCATTCCGGGGATTTGGGATCCAGCCAAGGTTTTTATCCTTGTTCACGCTTGCTTGATTTTGTCTATTCGCCGCATTTTTGTGACTTGTCATTTCCGCTGTGGATTCCTGAGACTCTTTGTATACTTCTAAAAGCCTTCTTGCTTCAAATACAGTCATTCCTGAGGTAAAAAAAAAAAGAAAAAAAACACATCAAAAAGAGCAACATTTTATTAGAGGAACTTTGCCATGGTTAGCACGTATGCTGTCAGAGATTTCGTGTTGTCTTTCGATCTCTGCACCTTCGCGAAATCTCAGTTACTCTTGATATGAATCATGGATCAATGTCTTTCTCAAACAATGCCCATTTCACCTAACAATATTCGTCAAAATATTTCGCCTTCGAGTAAAATTTCCGCTCCTTTGATATCCTGATCGACCATGATCGCTACATAGTGCGAAAAAATCAGTAGAAATTAAGGACAAACATTACAACTGTAAACACAGTGAACGTGTGAGTACTATATGTATGTACTGATATCTGCTGCTTTTTTCATTTCGTACCTCCCATTTTGGTCTAAATATAAAAACCAACTATATTTAATAAAAATAAAATAAAACATTAAAACCCTGGAACTATCTTTAATTACATGTATTAAAGCTTACCTAATTCCTGCCTAAGAAGCTCTTCGTTCACATGTTGGAGGTGTTCAACTTTTTTTAAACCTTTTCTGACGCAAGCACCCTCATAATCTTCTAGATCTGCTCTTTGAAGTACATCTAGTATTGGCGATGAACCCAGTATAAATCGCGAAGAACTAGCCATGTTCATTAGAGCTGGAATGCTGGAATGAAGTCACGCGGAATTCTTGAAAAAATGAAAAGGGCCGAGGGTTCCCTTTACTTGGTGAACCATTGGGTTTTGTAAATAGTGTATTAAAATAGTAACACTTTTTTCTTATTCCAGTGAAATAATTGTCTCAAAATAACGTTCGTAAAAAAATCAAAAGTTTTTCACAGGGGAGGGTTACAATTTTTTGGGCTCACATTTTAAAGGGGGCCAAGATTTTTGGGCTGTTAACCTGAGAGGGGCTAACATTTTTGGGCTCTAACCTTTGAAATAATACCGACCCTCCCCCCCCAATAGTTAATGACCGCTCCCTTATGAATATTGAATGAGTGCAATTTGTCTTGAAAAATTGTGAAATACTGCATTTTGTCTGAGGTCTATATGATAACAACGCCTCATATCTTTAGATGTGATGTATAAAAAGTATGAAATGTTGGTTTACACGCTCCCAGAGTTGTTGGCAAGTTTTTGTTAAGTAAACTTGTCGAACGCCAAAAATTCAGCCTGATTTGTTTTCCAAAAATTCGTTTTCCAGGCCTAATCTACTGTGATCAAGAGCCATTATGGCTCTAAAATGTGATCGAAGATGATTGCTATTTTTTGGGTGTATATATACGGCTATCAATTCGACGTAAGATTTTTTTTTTTCACTCTAAAATCACTTAGCCTTAGCTTTCCCTTAAAGTTAACTGATTTGTGGATTACAAGTTTATTGTTTGGTTTAAATTATAAATTTATTAATGGGAGCTTCGCTTTTAGCCCTGGCTAAATCTATATATTAGTGACATACTATACATGCATTACATAGTGGCCAAGCAACCACAAGTTTTGCAAAGGGAGGCGTTAAGTATAACCGAATTTTGTAAGTCACCTAGCCAACAAATTATGTTTTAAATAAATGTCAATGCAAGTACGTTTAACTGCTCTCTATGAGCGGAGTTGTAAGCAATATTTTGTAAAGTGCCTGATGACGTCATCACCTATGATTGTAAGGTACCATTCATGTTTTTTGACAAGTAAGCAAACCAAGTAAGTTGAGTGAAAAATTGAATAACTCTCACAACATTTAATACAAAGTGTGATGGAATCATTACAAATTGCGACAGCTTAGTTTAATACAAATTGCGAGGTCTTTTTTATTACAAACTGCGACATGTGTTTTTGTTGTAGCCATCTTAACTCCCCCAGTCCGCGATCAATCTTTAGGAGCGACCGAACTTTTATTGGCAGGCAATGATGTGCGAGAAAGTGCAAAGAAATGTTTGGTAGTGTTTAAAGACCTTTAAATTAGAAGATACTAAGCAGAACTTTCTGCTCTAATGTATATTGCGCTGTACAGCGTTGTTTTAGCCGTAGAAAAATCTTCAACTGTGCAGGGATTTCGAGCCATGGGGGCTTGGGCCCCCTCTCCCCTTCAAACTGACTTTTTCGTAAAAAATGAAGATTTACTGTGAGTGGAGTCTCCTCAGCCTTACAACTTCAAGTAACTAGGCAGCCCCTTACATGAAAAAATGTTCCGTGGCCGTGAAGAAGGTTTAGGTCGGAAACAGTGCATACTTATTTTGCTTAATTTTTTGCTTGGAAGCTTTATTGCTAAGCTGTATTCAAGTGTAAATAATTTTCATTAGTAACTCAACTTGATTAATTTTTAGGCTATTTCGAGTAAAGGTCACCTACATGTACATCAGATAATGCTATTCTATATTTAAGTTGTGTCTTTTTAGTTATAAAGTGTATCACTCACAGATCCGCCAGTAAAAACAGAGGCAGATGTCGCCTTTGCAATAACCGCACATCTCGGTTAGCAATAGGCCAGCAAACAGTCAGACTTATGAAATACACAATCACATGGATAATCGACAAATATGGAACGGACAAACTAGGAAAACTAGAGTACGGAGCTTACCTAAGGACTACTGGGGAAAAATTCAGCCATGTAGCATTTTCACTTTAATTTGGGTATCTATAGACATGGCGAACCAGTTGAACACGTGACTTTCCAGAAACAGTTGTCGTAGTTGCACTCGGACCAGAGGAATACCGGATCTCGTATACGGGACCATAACCACGAAACGCAAAGAAATCCACCGGCTGACCTTGCATTCACCTCAGGTGCAACATCGATTCAGTCGACCAAAACATTCCAGCTGATGAAAGATGTGATTACCAAGATCATTAAAGACCACGGAACAAGGATATGAGGCACTGCTATACTTTACGGTTCAGACGCTGCTAACAAGCTTAGCTTTACAAGCGATCCGGTCTATCCAAGTTATCTAGTGAACTTTGTAAAGTACATGCCCCTGAGCAAGCTTCCACCGTCATCGTCTCATGTCGCCCTGGAGGCAACATCAAGAGCGTTTCGGGGTCGAAGAGTGTGGCCAAACTCTGCTAAGGTACTGACGGTGGTGATGGACGTCAGGGGAGACTCGCTCGAAAAAGAGACCAGGCGACTAATAAGGTGTTGACAAAGCAGAAGTTCAAGGTCATCACTGTGGGGATTGGTGCAGCTGACGATCCAGACAAGATGGTGAAAGTTGCTGGCGACGATGATAGCGTTATAGCAGCGCCCGTGAATAAAGATTCAGTAGAGCTGACCAAGCTGTTCATGAAAAAGCTTTTTAACTCAGGTGAACATCTTGTTGATTTCACTAGCAAGACGCTGACCCTTCAGCCCTCCTTCTAGGATGACGGAAGGGTCACTACCACACCATTTGCAGTGATAACTTTGTAAAAAATGGCGTGTCTCGTGCACCCGATTTGCTCCTGTAACACTAAGAGAAACGGGTAGATTATTGGACCAGTTGATTAATGGTTCAGCAGATGAATGGATGGGTAAATCAATAGGTCAAGAAATCTCCGAAACAGCAAATTGATGTAAAGACAGTCAGAGTCTCATCAAGCAGTTGACTTGAAAACAAAGCCGATGTTTTGGTGGATGAAAGGCGGGTTTAGGTGAAGTAATCGTGGTGTTAAGGATCGAGAATATACACGTCGGAAACTAATATTTTCTCTTCTCCAATACTTTTACTCACTAAGTTTGTACTCACTGCAGTCAAGTTTTTTCAGCTCGTTGTACCAAATAGAAGTGTTTCGTTAAGTAAAGGTCAAAACTTCCGCTTGCGTTTTCTGACGTACAGGTGGTCAGCCTTCCTTTTGCTCTAGCTGGCCATTTTAATATTTTTTTTTCACTGTTTGATGCGCGTCGTTTGCACCCGGCTCTCGTATCCTTTTTGTTTCATGATAAGTCAACCTCGCCGCTCAACGCCCTTTTTTCATGTAACTTTTAGCCCCACCAGTCGTGCTAGAAATTGATCTGCTGTTTGCTGTGGGCACATTTTCGTCAAATGCCGATAACGTTTTCCAAAAATTTCAAGAAACCATTACCTTTGCCATCGACACTTACGGTACAAAGAGCATACACTTCACCATCTTTGCTGGATCAAGTGATGACACTATAATATATTTTGATAACTACACCACAGCCAAGCAGTTAAAAACACTATCACAAGCCTTAGTCGCCAATCTTTTAGACGAAACTTTATGGAAAGCCCGGAAGGTGTTTAAGTCGTCAAGTGCTCTGGAAGGTGCGCAAAAAGTCTTTGTTCTGACCAAAGTCTCCTTTCTCTCTTTCCGATGTTGTTACCTGAAGTAATGTTGCTTAAAGAAATGAACATTATGGTGATTCCGGTGGGAATTGGTAGTGAAGTTGATGTAACAGAACTGCAGGAGCTTATGCCAAATGTAGGTGATATTATTAACACGTCTGCTGTCGACGATGAAAAACAACTTCGAAAAGACATCATTTTTAAGTCTTCAGCGGTAGACCTGTCTGCTTGTTAACTTACAGAATAGTTTTCCCCGTCACTCTAGTTATCTCAGTCATTTAAGTCATCCCAGACATCCTAGTCATCCCAGTCAACCCAGTCATTCTAGTCATCTTAGTCATCCCAGTCACCCCAGTCATCATACTTTTCCTAGTTATCCCAAACATCCTGGTGGTCCCAGTAATTCGAGCCATCCTAGTCATCCCAGTAGTCTTAGTAACTCTAGTCACCGCAGTCATCCTAGCCATCCCAGTCAACCAAGTCATCCGAGTTATCCCAGTCAACCTAGTCATCCTGGTTATTTCAGTCCTTCCAGTCATCCAAGTCATCCTAGTCATTCTAGTAATTCTAGCCATCCCAGTCTTTCCAGTCATCCTAGTCATCCCAGTTACCCTAGTCATCCAAGTCACCTTAGTTATCCGAGTCCTTCCAGTCATTCAAGTCATCCTAGTTATTCTAGTAATCCTAGTCATCCCACTCTTTCCAGACATCCTAGTCATCGGAGTTATCCCAAGTGTCTTAGTTATCCTAGTAATCACAAATCATCCTAGTCACCCCAATCATCTTAGTCATCTCAGTCATCCTATAGTTGTCTCTGTCATTCCGGTCATCCTAGTCATCTTAGTTATCCTAGTCATCCTAGCGATCCCAGTCTTCACAGTTATCCTTGTAAACCTCGTCATCCGAGCCATCGTGGTTATGTCGGTGATCCTGGTCATCCCAGCAATCCTAGTTCCCTAGTCATCCCAGTAATCTCAGTCCTTCCAAACATCCCAGCCATTTGAGTTATCACAGTCAACCTTAAGTCATCAGAGTTATCCTGGCCACGGCCAGCAAACCTAGTCATCCCAGTCGTGCCGGTCATCTCAGTAATCCTTGTTATCCCAGTCATCCTAGTCAGCCTTGTCATCCCAGTCAAGCTAGTCATCGGATTTAGTCGTCTTTGTCATTCTAGTCATTCCAGGCATCCCAGTCATACTAGTCATCCCAGTCATATCACATCCGGCTACGTATCCCAGTCATCGGAGTCATCCTGGTCATGCCTATCATCCTATTCATCCCACTCATCCTATGAGCTAGAGTGCGGGATTTGATTAATAGTCACTCTTCCTTGCAAATTTTATCACGCTGCCGTGTAAATTTGCAAAG